CAGAAAGTTAACAAATGCGAGCACACACTCATCTAAACCTGCCCCCACGTTAATCGTAGAGTAGACACCACTTCCTGTCTGCAGTTGTCCTGGCATGCTGCTGATGGAGCTGTGGGACCGTTCACGTCGCACCTGTCAGTCAACGGTTGTGTTGTGCAGATGTAAAGTGTGAGAGAATTTAAGGTCGTCCTTTCACCAGCGTTGCTCCTTAATCTCTGCTTCAAATCATTGTTTTGTTTTTTCATTGAACCACATGTCAGAGTGCTGACTAACAGAACAGTTATTTGAACAATATTTTTAGTAGACACCACTTCCTGTCTGCAGTTGTCCTGGCATGCTGCTGATGGAGCTGTGGTGAATTCCTACAGAGCAGCCGACCAGCTGATTGAAAGATTGACTTTGTTTTGACCTGTTGTAAGTGAATGTGATCCTCCGTCTTTCTGAGTTCACGAAGAGGAAAAAATAACTTCTTCAAAGTTGAATTGTGAAATTGTGAATTAGTACAAAAATATTTTTGTCGACAAATCTTAGTCCAAACGTTTAATCCTATCCTAATAATATCTGCTACCCAGTAATTAGGGCCATCACAATAACCCTAACCTCAAATAGTTCTACTACCATCATTTCAAAGCACCACAGGTAGCTGGAGGTAAATCTCTAGTTTCCAGAAAAAAAATGTATTTTACCTAATGAACGGAATGAACAATAATTTTCTCTCCACCAACACAACTATATAAGTAACATAAAAAATATTTAAAGCAGTGTTTGTAGTATGAAGGAGTGAGAGTTTATGAGCTCTGTTTACAGACACTCTCTGCTTAATTAACCATACACCAATGGGAATGCCCTATGTAAAAAACAACAACACACAAACAGATATTATTGTTTTAGACTTGACAGTAAATATAAGAACATAATTGTCAGTGTTGTGTGTAGTTCATTAAATAAGCGCTGGATAAACTGAATGTACTCCAGATATACTGTAATCAGATCAATAAATCTGACAAAGCTCTTGGATCAATCACCAGAGGTCAGCGAGTCAATAGATGAAGGAGTAAATTCTCTTGTTCTCGATGCACTAATTGAATATCTATTAGCTGGAGCTGGTACTTCTGGTGAATAGCTTAATTGTGTTTATGGGGGAGAAAAGGACTGTAGCAGCAGCAGCAGCAGCAGCAGCAGCAGCAGCAGCTGGCATGCTTTGTGGTGAGCTTGTCCCTTCCTGTGATATCCACCATCTGCTGTCTGCAAAACAACTCATTTATATCCTGTCACTTCTAGGAGGGCCTTTATTTATCAAGTGACCACTATGCAAATCACCTGCACTAGAGTTGGGCTGATCTAATTGCCAAATCATAGTCATGAAAGCGTTGGTTTTCGTCATTTTGTTAATGGTATTTGTGTTTGTTTTGCGTCAAGTGTGGGTCTGTGGAGCTGTCCCGCTGCCTGCTGCTGTTACCCTGGGATGTGACAGTAGTGTCGGTTACCTGCACGTTAGTCATGGGCTCACGCTGCCTAATTGTAGCCTCTCGGTGTAGTCACTACGGTGACATGAGTGTTTTGTGCACCAAAAAGAAATGGTCTCCACCAAGTACAGATGATGTTAATTGTGAAATGATGAGCACTAATGAAGACGAGCCTTCATGCTGTCCTACTCACCCAGACTGTTTTCTCTTTGTGAAATAATGTGAAAATATTGAAAAATAAAATGAAATAAAGCAGGATAAAACATCACGCTGTAGAAGACGAATTAAATGAGGAAAAGTAGTTGATGGTCAACCATTGTATTCAGATTGACTTCTATTCCAACTGTCTTTTGGTATAGCGTGGCAGTCAGTGAGGAGTAAAAGGGAATCTAGCATCAAAGAGTCATGTTTTAACTAGAAGGAAGTTTTCTGCTTAAACCTCGAAATTTAAATGTTTATATACAAACATTTCGTAATATTTGGGACTTATCCAAATAATGGAATTATTAATATGAACAAAAATCAAATCAATTGAAAAGTCAAAATTAACTCAAAATGAGTCCTTTACTTTCCTATACTGTTGCTTCAAAAAGAGATTTTATTCATTAGTGCGGAGAACACTTTGAAAGTTGTAACTTTGAGAACTTTGCTGAGTCCTCTGTCCACAACACTGTTCCGTCCACTGTCCTTTCTGATCCGACCGGACGTTGAAGCGTTCACACACACATATGGAGCTGAGATGGTATTTTAAGCTGCTTCTGTGAAACAAAAAAAAAAAAAAAGATTTCCCACAATGTGTGCAAATTGACACCATACGTGTTGACTGTTCATTTTTATTTTTTTACAATCTGACTCTTTGAGTCCTGCCAACTCACTTGGGTCGAGTCCTATTATTCTAAAAATATTTCACGTGCCTAAATATATATATATATCCAGTGAATATATGTTATGGTTTTGTAGGGACGACCATGTTCTGGTATTTTCTCAAAGAACCTTTACGTAATGCAACTGAAACACGTCTGCCACAGAGTGGTGTCCTGTCATGCAGGTAAATGATTTGAATTCTTTTTTTTTTTTTTGTCATAAAACTTTTGTTTTAGTGAGGTATAATATTTTATCCTGTGTGTTAATAGTATCATTACTGTGATCAGCTGCTGTTCAGACCAGGCTGCCTCAGTCTGTGAAGCATTGGGAAAATGCCCAATAAATGTCAGCCCAGACCTGCTGAAATGTGACAATTGACTGCAGGGTATTGATTTAGTCTGTGCCTGTCAGGTAAAACTGCAGCTCTGGCATTAGTCACAACAATTACGGTATTTGAAATGTCAAAATTCTAGAGGTCGTGAAGGATAATTTCCGTCCATGTGTCAGGAGGGAATGATGACACTTCCCCGATACACCACTGTGGCTCTTGATGAGGGCAACGCCCGGCGACAGTTGTGCCGATCGGAACAGTCCTTTGCTGCAGTGCCTCTGCTGACAGCTTCCTCTGTATGGAAAAACATGACAGCAGCCC